AGTGACGTCTAATTTGGGAGAAAATTATAGGTCTTAAGAATAGACAATGATTTTGAATTGGGGTCAAGTAATGAAGGTATTTATTTTCTACAACAAAAAGGTATCATTCATCAAACAAGTTGCAAATATAATCCTCAACAGAATGGAGTGGTTGAAAGAAAACACAAGCACTTGTTAAAGACTTCTAAAACTATTCTTTTCAATCCAAATTACCCCTCAGATTTTAGGAAGATTGTTTTTTAACTTCTACTTTTCTTATAAACACATTCCCTTCGAAAATCCTTCATGGTAAGTCTCCATTCTCACTTCTCTATAATACTCTACCTTCTTTTGACCATTCGAGAACATTTGAGTCTTTATATTATGCTAGCACTTTACAGCATAACAGGGATAAGTTGCAACCAAGAGCAAGACCTTGTATTTTTATTGGTTATCCATATGGAGAAAGCTTACAAATTGTATGATTTGGAAACCAAGAAGATTGCTATTTCTAGGGATGTCGTATTTTATGAAGATATTTTCCTTTTTCAACTTCACAGTGACCATTCTACCCCAGTGTTTTCACCATAACCAAGTTTATCTCATTTTGAAGATAGTATCAGTCCCTCACCTAATCAATCCTCTTCTCCTTTACTAGCTCAAACTTTAACCAACAACTTTGTTCCTAGAAGGTCTGAACAAGTTCCAATTACACCTGCCCATTTAAAGGACTACATTTGTAACAACGCATCTGTTACAAATTCAAAAGATTTATGTCTTCACTTTGCATCATTCATACACAGTATCACACATACTTATCAACATAAACATGTGTGTTTTAGTGCTTTATTTGAACAGAGTCAACAATATTTTCACAGAATGTCTAAGATCACATAACCATCTTCTTATGATGAAGCTGCCACCATCCCTGAATGGCAAAAAGCCATGAATAAGGAACTTCAAGCAATTGAAGCTAATAATACTTGGACTTTATTCGATCTTCCTAAAGGAAAGAAATCCATCTGTTGCAAATGGGTTTACAAGGTTAAATACAAATCTAATGAAGAAGTGGAAAGATATAAAGAAAGATTAGTTGTGAAAGGGCCCACTCAAAAAGCTAGAATAGATTACACTGAAACTTTCACTTATGTGGTGAAAATGACAACAATCCGGACATTAGTTACAACTGTTGTAAAGAAAGAATGGCCATTGTATCATTTAAATGTGAATAATGCATTCCTTCATGGAAAATTACATAAAAAATTACATGAACCCCCTCCTGTTTTGAAACTTACAAATTCACATCAAGTTTGTCTTTTTACAAAAATCCTTATATGGTCTTAAGCAAGCATCTATGAAATGCTATGAAAAGTTGACATTTGCTTTAAAGACTAAAGGATATCAACATTCAATGAATGATTATTCGCTATTTTTCAAACATTATGACAAATATGACAAATTTATTGTTGTTTACGTTGATGACATTATGGTGACAGGTAATAATGAAGAAAAAATCACAAGTTTAAACCAATTTATTGATTCTACCTTTAAAAGTAAAGATCTTGGTCATTTAAATTTTTTCCTTGGAATTGAAGTCTTATATTCTCATTTGGGGGTGATTCTTATACAAAGGAATTTTGCTAATGAAATTTTGAAAGAGTTTGATTCTAATGGGACTACTGTTTCTCCACTTCCAACTAATTCTAAACTACTTTTGGGACAAAGGGCAGTTTTGGAAGAACCAGAAATTTACAGGAGACTTGTGGACAAGCTTAAATTTTTAGTCCACACTAGACCTTGTTTGGCTTTTGTTGTTCAACATTTAAGCCAGTTTATGTCTGAGCCAAGAGAGTCACACCTAGATGTTGCTATACGTGTTCTAAAATATCTCAAAGATGATCCTAATCAACGTTTATTCATGAACAAATCCATTGATTATTCATTACAAGCATACTATGATTCTGATTGGGTTTTATGTCCTCAATGTAAAAGAAGTGTGAGTGGGTTCATAATACTTCTTGGAAATAGCCTCATTACATGGAAGTCAAAGAAACAAATTATAGTTTCGTTATTGTAACACTTGTGCCCTGGTATGTGCCTTATAACCCTTGAGTATTCAACATTTTCATTTTAGTCCCTGAAGTAGTACGCGAGCCTTCCACTTGCTACGCTTAGCATACTAGTTGAGAAGCCAGTACGCGGGGCGTACCACTTCGTACGCTTATCGTACTAGTTCGGTGCTGAGACGCAACTTAAGTCGCGTACGTTGGGCATACTATACTTTAATGAAACCCTAATTGGGGGTGTTGCACCCTATTCAACCATCCTTATCTTCTATAGATGGCCTCTTTACCAGCACTCAAAGCCTCCAAAACCCTAAAACGAGTTGTAGCCTCCATTGTCAAGCATTTGAGTCTTTAAATAGAGCTTGGTGTTTATTTTGTTTATTGTGAAGGAGTTAGAACATCTTGAAATTCCTAAGCTTGGAGAAGGAAGTCTTGGATCCAGAACCACTACCGATTTTGCAAATAGTTTGAGGTATCAAGTTCTTATCTTGGTTGCTAGATGCTTAGATCTCCTTTTGGGTTTAATGGTTATGTTTTTAGCCATGGTTTAGATGGATGTTGGGATTAGGACGTCCCAAAGGCTTATTCTTTCAGATCTAAGGTCTTCATCGGCTCCTTAGGCATAAAGGTGCCCACTTTATGGAGTTTAAGGGCCTCATGATTTCATTAAGTCCTTCATTAAGTCCTTTTTGAGCTTTAGAGCTTCTTATGGGTATGCATGGACATAAAGCAAATTTACGTGATATTTCAGCTTAAAGAGGTTAAATCTACATTTTGGAGAGAAGTCTTAACGAGTTACATGCTTAAAGTAGAAAGTGGTTGATTTGGTTGAGTATGATGGGTGTACGAGCCTGTACGCGCAACATAGAAGCCCTCGAGCCAATACGCTTAGCGTACAAACTGAGTACGCCTTGCATACTCAGTCAGGTGGCCATTCAAAGTTAGGCTTTAGGGTTGGGCCTCGTTTTGGGCTTAGAAGGACATGTGTTAGTTGGGCCATATGATTTTAGGAGTTTTTGGACAAAGAGTATTATAGGGCCTTGGGCTAAGGCCCATGAGAAGGGATTGGGTCTAATTGGAAATTGGGTCGTATTTTGGGCCTTGTTGAATTGTTTAATTTTGGGGCCTTTGGATTATGGTTATGGGCTTCATTCTTGGACTAAGCTAGGTTAGGGTAATATAGTCTTTTTACCCAAAGTAGATATGGTAGATCCTAAATGTTACTTAGTTTTTATGTTGCAATTGATAGCTCAGGGAGCTGTAAGACCAACAGTCAGGGATAATTCGTTTCATTTAGCTTTTCGAGGTGAGTTTCCTGACTAAGTTCAGCAGATCTAAGGCACCAAGGCCGACCCTCGTTTGGTTATGTTATTATACTTGATGTCTATGTGATACTTGTATGTGCTTGTATATGTATGTCTATTAGGCGGGCCCATTATGTGAGTGTGGGCGGGGCCTGTATCTCATTATTATTCAAGTCTGGGTGGGGCTCGTGATTCGAGTTTGGGCTGGGCTTATATCTCACTATTATTCGAGTGTGGGTCGGGGCCCGTTATATGATATGTGTGGTATGTGGTATTTTGGGGAACTCACTAAGCTTTGTGCTTACGGTTTTAGTTTATGTTTCAGGTACTTCTGGTTCTTGACCGAAGCACACACACCATATTGATTATGTTTATGAAACATACTCTGATTTTCATGATGTTTGGCATATTTATTTTTATTGGGTTGTATGAACAACGTTTTGGAATACTGTTTTTACGTAAATCAAAACGAAAATTTTGGATCATGATTTTTGGATGTTACAATTATCCTCTGTAGGAGCAGAATGCCGCAATATGCAAAGAGTGACAGGTGAGTTTGCATGATTAACTCATTTATTTCGTGAATTTACTGTCCCAAATGTTACTCTAGTTAAGTCAAATGCAACAGTCAAGCTGCTATTCACATTGCTAAGAACCTCGTATTTCACCAACGGACATAGCATGTTGAGTTAGATTGTTAGTTAGTTAGTCACTTCACATGTTTATCATTTGACTTGTTAGTTTGTTAAGCTTCCATATCAAGTTAGCTAGTGATTAACTTGTATTAATAATTTGTTTACTTGTGTAAGATGTAATCACTTAGTGATAGAGATAATAACAAAACAAGATTCATTTTCTTTACTTCTTCTTCATCTCTCTACATTTCACGTTCATGTTCATACCAAAATCAACATCCCATGCCTCTACCCATTAGCAAGACCACAAGCTCTTCCTCGTCGGTCATTAATTTGTACCAAACTTGCAATTACAAATGATAAACGATAGAATTAACTGACCGTTTAAAGGGCCTTAGGCATCCAATGGAGTTGTGTAAAGAAGCTCATGGAACAGTCCGTGAGAATTCATTGTCGGCCCGTTACGTGATTCATGAAAATTAAAAAAGAGATCCATCAATCATCATTAATGTTGCCATCTTTCTAAGGTGGTTGACTCCGTGCATCATATACCAATAAAGCAATTTCCTTATATATGCTTACGTGTTTACTTATATGAACATATGCTTTAAAGTTCATGGCCCTATAGGTCATGTTCTTAAACCTTTATTAATTATTTATCATATATACATTTTAAAAAATCTTGTAGTTATAGAAAAGTAGTAATAATTTGAAGAAGGTACCTTTTCTGGGATTCACAGCGTGACAAGGCTTAATTAGCTTTGTCACCCGACCATACCCCATCTAACGCATCTTTTTAAAGACAAGGTAGTAACTGTAATACAGGGAAAAGTCAGAATTATTTACCTCTATTGCCGACTCTGTTCCCATCATCGATCTCTTGTTTTCCGTTTCACTTCATAAAAGTGTGTCATCACTCATCATCTGCCACTCTCAACCCCTATTCCTTTCAAAATTGTTGCGATTTTGATCCAAACTCCTTTCTGCTTGATTCTTTTCGTGAAAAGGTGTCCTTAATGGATGCTGTTGATAGGAATCGGTACAGGTGGCAAAAAGAAATTCCGTCTTTCTCGTCGACTTTGCTTGACAAAATCTACCGATCGATCGATGAAAGAGGTGATGAGGAGAAATCGGTGGTTTATAGAGAAACCATGAAGAAGAGACAAAGCATTGATGGTTGTTTCCATGTTGATGGTAGCGGGTCGAAGAATATCAGGGGAATGGTTGTTGGACGAAAATCAGTTGCAGGTTTTGAAAGTAGTTCCCGACGAAGTGAAGGTAACTCCTTCTATAATTCAACCCTCGGTTCTTCCTGTTCTGGATATGGCGTCGGATTTTCGTCGGAGGAGGAGGCTGAAACAGTATACAGATGTCCGGCGAGACCTAAACCTATTCGTACGAGCACCCACAATGCCAATGAATGCAACAAACAGAGTGTTACGTATCCCCAAAATCATCAACCTGAAGATTTGCAACCAAAGGCTAAACGTAAAGGCAAGTTTGGGAAGACGAAATCGGGAGCTATGAAGATCTATGGTTACCTGAAGAAAGGAAAGCGACCGCTTTCTCCGGGAGGTCGATTAGCAGTTTTTTTAATTTCACTTTTCACTACTGGAAACGCGAAGAAATCGTTCTGCGCTGGAGGTGACGATGAGGCGGTAATTCATGGGAAAAGGGAATCAAAATCGGCCAATGCTTCAATGCCTTCGTCGGTATCTTCATTTTCACGATCGTGTCAGAGCAAAACTCCATCGTCGTCGTCAAGAGGAAACATAATCACCACCGAGATAAAAAGATCTGTGAGGTTTTATCCAGGCACTGTGATTGTCGACGAACATCATCAACCTCGTGAACGCAAATCAGTTAACGGAGACCGATCTGATTCACTTTCGGTAAAATTTTCCAGGAATTCAGTCAGCGAAGAGATACAAAAGCATTCGACAGAGAACAAATTCCATATCGAAGAAACAAAGAGAAATTTATTGACGAATTACCAGAAGAAGGTTGAATATCCGTTTGATTCGATTAAAACTAATGCCGTTACTGACAACGACGAAGACGATGAAGATGACTCTGCAAGCTATGCAAGCTCCGATCTCTTTGAATTGGATCATCTTTCCGCCATTGGAATGGATCAATGTATGAAGGAATTGCCACTTTACGAAACAACTAGTATTGCTGCAAATCGAGCCATTGCTAATGGTCACCTTGTATGATCCTCAGCAGCCATAAACCAAAATATGAAAAATTCAGAAGTATATGGCCACTTTGGATGAACTTATTTAAAATTAGATATTAATATAAAATCAGTACTAGGAAATTAATATGTAATACGTTCTATTGTATTATATTTTAGGGTTGAAATTATTAAATAAAATATAACGGCTAACTTATAACAAAACATTAGAGTTTAATGGGTATCCGTCAAATATCATATCATGTAAAATGTATTTAAGAGAAAATTACACTTTTGGTCCTTATACTTTACCATAAATCATAAACTTTGTCCAAATTTTCAGATAGACCAAATGCTATCCTTAGGTTTGAATTTCAATGCGGATATTATCCCTTCCCCATATAAAATGATTTCCAAAGATGGACTACGTTCACAATTATGAGTACAATATTGAAAGTGCAACATCCAACATGTCGAACTCATGCATGCAATCATGTACATGCCTCCAATCTTATTTATTTTTGGTTATGTCAATATTTCTTTATGTTGAATTAGTTGTTGAATTAGTCTAGATAGTGGATAGTTATTTTCTATGCATGTTCCTAATTTTCATGGTAGTGGTAGTCTAATAGCAATATCTATTTTCCAGCTTTGCTATATATAGCTATTGCAATGCTCTCATTTCAAGATGATATGCACTAACACTTTCATAATATAATTTTTCTCCTTCTTCATTATCTTACACGAGGTCTTGGTTGTGTAGTAGGAAAGTTGTCTCTCCAAAGGTTATTAAAGTGGTATCAAAGCTTGTGTGTTACGGATTGCAGAACTACAAATTGTAGGTGGTGTAAAGAAGCTCAAAAACCATAAGTTTAACACTTGGTCTACTTGCATTATGTCGTATATGCAGTGACATGATTTATGGGTAGTTGTGAATAGGTTAGAGACAAGACAACCTAAGGCAGAAGGCAACAATGGAATCTTACATAAATGGAATATTAAGGTAGGCAAAGTGATGTTTGTGCTAAAAACTATCATGGAAGAGGATACATTTCAGCATATCGGAGATGTGATAACTCCAAAAGAGGATTGGGAGACATTGGAACCTTATTCTCCGAGAAAAAAATTATACTAAGCTGCAGCTTCTTGAGAATAAACTTCTATGGCGTCTTAACATGATATACCAATCCCACAATGTTTCACAAAGTTAAATCCACGCATAGAGAAATTACAAATCTTGATCCTCGCTCTAATATCAGTGAGGCTCATATGAAAAGAATCATAATTCATAGTCTAAAACCTGAATTTATAAGCTTTGTAATAGCAAATCAAGGATAGGCAACACAACCTTTCCTCGTTGAATTTTTGAGAATCTCTTAGCTAGACATGAAACCTTAGTGAAATACATGGGATGAAGTGTGACAACTAGCAAAATTATGTCAACGTTCACCGGTCCAAACACCATGAACGTACTTGTAATAGGACCTAATGTATATGTAACACCCGTATATTCGGACTAGTCAATTTAGAGATAGCAAACGTTAAAAACAACTTTTTGATAGAAGATTATTTAGCATAAATAATTTTAACCAAAGTTATAGTATATGTCATAAGGATTTTGTACATATAAAGAACGTTGAAATCCGACTTATAACGCATAAATTATGACCCGTCGAACTTTTATGACTAAACTGGCACGGCGTCGCGTATCGTAGAAAGTAAATTTTGATAAAATACCTTTTAGCCTTAGCAATCTAAATGAAAGTCATATTATATTAAACCGAGAGCATGCATGTAGAGAACGTCCAAACCTGTCTTCGTTTGAGAAAGTCATGATTTTTCTATGATTTAGCGTAGCAATGCACTGAAAATCGAATTTTAGATCGATCAATTATTAGCTGCCACGACGTATACAATAATTGAATATCTCGTTAATAAGAGCTCAACGGTATAAAGACAGCGAAGATGGACGTCGAATAACAACGTTATGAACTTTTAACGGATTTTAACTTTCTAAGTCGGTTAAAATATAAGTTTAAAAATAAATTCAAAATTAGATGACATAGTCTAAATGAAAGTTGTAGATCACGTCACTACCAATACGTGGATATAAATAACGTTAAAGATGGAGCACATATGCAAAGTTAAGAATTTTAGAAGATAATTACTTTTTGGAATTAACCAATGAGTGACACGTGCCAAGATTTGGGCCACAGCTTCTTCCTCACAGCTTTGCACGAGATCGTGACATGTGGCATGAGTACGCCCAGCATATTGAGTACACCCAACGTACCCTTGCGTACACCCAACGTACTGGTTGTTGGCAGCCTATAAATAGATGGCATTTTCCTTCATTTCCGCACATCTTCTTATCTAATTCTCTCCCAAGCACCCCCAAACTTTCTAAGATTGTCTCTAGCCTATCTTAGGAGTTAGTAGCAAGTCCTGGACCACCAGAAGGCCCAGAGAAGAAGAGCTTCCGGCTTAGAAGTTATGCCCACACAGAGCCCGGTTCCTCGCTAAACCCTCTTGTAAGCGAGTTATGTTTATCCTACTTTAACTATAACTTATGTTTAAGTTCATTATCATTATTTTTAACCTATAAACAAGATTTATCAGTGATTCCAAGTTATACTGATTGATTTACTTACGTGGATGATGTCTAGGGTGTTTTTATGTTATATTGATGCATTGGTTAATTGTTCAATGTTGAAGCAAATTGAAAATTTCACTCTAACTGTTGGACTCAATGAGTCCATGATGAACTTGTCACACCCCCAAAACCGATGAACGGCGGAAACATTATGGGGTGGAGGACGTCATGTACAGTATCACAACAATGCAAGTAGTAAACAAACAACAACATCATCCATTGCATTGATAATATAATTGCATACAAGTGTGTTCTGTCAAGTTATATAGATACCAAAAAGACACATCAAAAATAAAAGATGAGCCTTGAACACGCTCCTTCTTCTCAAAATCCGGCCCATGTACCTGTCTACTGGTGACATGAGAATACAAGTTATTTTGAAAGCGAGTATCAACTTTAGAGCTGGTGAGTTCATAAGTATATTAGTGTTTGAGTTTGTATGAAAGCATTTGTAAGATGTTTTGTAAAATGTATTGTGTATGTTTGTAAAGGTTTTGTGTTTGTTTGATCTACTCTAGAAAACCCTATGTTTCCTACTAAAAGTAGCCTTCTACCAAGGCATCTAGTGTCTTTGTGTGTATCTCTTGTAAAAGTGTATATTTTCCCAATTTCGACTATCATTAACCAAAAATATAGTTTCTACATTACCGTGCATCGTGTGAATATCACAAAGTAAAATGTAAAGGGGAAATGTTTTAGTACCGTAACGTAGTTTTAAGTAAACTACTGCTATACTAACTACCTTAAGCCAATTGTATATTTTAAGGTAACATGTGATCGGCCTGTATCTTGCTACCGACTCAATAGTAAAGTGACAATGTAAGATGCCAAAAAAATGACGTTTGGCACCCGTAGACTTGCAAGTCCCACTATAGCGAGCAGCAAGGTGTAGGATAGTCAATTCAGTATAGATCTATACACAAACTTATACGCTCCCCAATTAAGGAGATTCTGATATACAAAACAGTCATGGTAGGTAGTGCCATGCCCTGCTTAATGGCTCACATAACTGTGTTAATGTATATATAATGTATATGTAATGTATATGTGTGCTAGCTGTATTGTGCGTTCTTTCTCTATCTAGCCTGTATGTTTGTTTCTCGGCATAGTGTTTATTATTTGTTCCTCCTCACTTTGTCTCACGTTTGATTCTCATCATAGTATGTATTGACTCATGTATGAACTGACTCATTGTATGTTTCATTGTTCTAGTAATAGTATCTTCCTAAACTACCCCTATGGTAGCTTACTAGTAAAGTATGAACATGTCTGTATGCCCTTGCTACCCAAGGGCATGGAATTGAATGAAAGAAATAACCTTTTATATCTATATACATATACATAATATATAACTAGGATTCAAACGACCTTCGGACAACTAACCTTGATACCCTAAGACCACATCAAACAAGAACAGGAAGCAGGTAGACTAGTAGTCTTAAGTCCTTTCAATCTAACTTATATAACTATATTTATATAGATACACAGAATATAAATTTAAAAGAATGTTAAGTAAAAGTATTTGACCATTGAAGGAGTTTGTAAGATAATTTGAGGTAAAACAGTTTGATAAATAGTTTGGAAAGTAAGTAAACCATTTGTTTGGTGGTCATTAATCACATGTGATTGATATAATAACTATAATTGTTCAACTTGTATTCCCCCCCCCCCATAAAAGCATTTAAAAACAGTTCAAAGGTTATTTTAGGGGTATGAACTCACCTGTAGTGAGTGGTTCTGGTGACAATGTTGGATCTGTTGCTAAGTATCAAGTGGTGACTTGAGTACACACGTGAATCCTATTTAGCATATATTGGCACATATATGAATATAATTAGTGTTATGAACAACTAATTAACGAATTGGGACCACCTTAGGGACTAGTAAACACTTCTTTTGAAGTGTTACAACCATAAATGATTGTACGAAGGGTTAAAAGGCTATACAAGAGAGTGTATGGCCAGAATACACACTATATGTGTGTGTGCGGCCATGTGTGCGGCCAGGTGTGCTGCTAGAAAACATGTGTTCTTGGTGTTCTTGGTGAAAGATGTTACCTTTCCGGATGATACTTGAGAGGATTTTCGAGTCCTAGCTTTACAAGAGTGTAAGAAATGATCAAAATGACCAAGGATAGTACTTATCGGAGGGTGTGTGCGGCTGGAGGTGTGTGTGGTTGGCCTGTGTGTGGCTGGCTGGCTACACACACTAGTGTGCGGCCGCACACACCAGTTTTGGTTTGTTTGGCTCGTTTTCCCAATGCTACAACCAAACTAACCCATCCTACGACACGTAATTCAATTGTACTAAGCTTTAAGCACTCTTTTAGACCCAAAACTTCATCATAAAATAGCAAAACGAAGCTAACTTTGATATAAAAGAAGAAT